CATGAGGTAACTATCGAAGAAAATAAAAACTGCCATGCTACCCAAGTTGTAGGACCTGTGCACACCACTAAATTTAAAAGTAAAGAAACAACACCACCATCCCCTAAAAAAAAACCCTAAATCTCACCAAATCTGAGTGTTGTTGGGATAGCAGAGGTGAATTCTGCTGAAACAATACAAATAAAAATAGCAGTTCAGTGAAGACAGCAAAAAGAAACAAAATATTGCATACAGAAAAGGAGGATGGCCTCAGGAATTTGATCGGTTTATGGTCAACCTCCACGTAATGTACAGATGCACCTTTTTTTTTTTTTTTTTTTTTTTTTTTTTTTTTTTTGTGGGCAGCAGACATGAGGAAATGTAACTCACACTGTGAGGTGGCTGGAAGATGTAAGGCTGCAGCTAAGCCTCTGCTGGGAGACCAGGGGGTTTCCAGACAAGTCTGGACACAGGCATATGTCTGCCATGCAGATCCTTGTGTAATATGATACCAACTTTGCTGAGCTGCTATAAAATGAAGAGACTGCTTTTAGGATAAGGATCTAGATGGCTCTGCATTGGGCACTTAGAAACGTAGCTTAAGCACATAGGAAATGGTAGAGTAACATTGCATCCAGGCAAGAGGTTGTCCGAAAATGAGGTAGCCTATTTGACACAAAGATGATCAGAGTATTGCTGTTGTCAATACTTTTTGGTTTAAATTATTAAAACCTCTTGTACTACTGGAAGAAGCTGACTACTAAGATTTGTGATTGCAGTAATCTGCTTCTAGAGGACTTTTTATGTAACAGGGTGGTTGTTTTAAGGGGCTTTAGAGGGATGTTCACCTTAATTCTAAGAAGAGTGAAGTATATTCTACTATGATGCTTCTTCTGATTTTACTGTTAACAGATTAAGAGGAATTTGGGGAACTTCATAGAATCAGAGAATGCCAGGTTGGAAGGGACCTCAAGGATCATCTGGTCCAACCTTTCTAGTACTACTACAGTTATATGAGAGGGCTCAGCACCCTGTCAAGCTGAGACTTAAAACTGTCCAATGTTGGGTCATCTACCACTTCCTTTGGGAGAGTATTCCAGTGTTTGTTTTTCCTCTTGATGAAAAATTTTCCTCTTCTGTCCAATCGGAATCTCCCCAGGAGCGACTTGTGCCCATGACCCCTTGTCTTTTTCATGTGACTCCTTGTAAACAGGGTCTCCATCTCCTTGGTACCACCCTGTAAGTACTGGAACATGGTCATAAGGTCTGCCTGAAGCCTTCTCTTTTCAAGACTGAACAAACCCTGTTTTCTTAGCCTCTCCTCATATGGACCCTCTCCAGCCTGTCTATATCCTTCTTGTAGAGCAGGACCAAAACTGAATGCAATACCCCAGGTGTGGTCTGACCAGCACCAGTAGAGTTGGATGGTGACTTCTTGATCTCTGCTGGTGATGCCCTGGTTGATGCAGCCCAGCATTCTGTTGGCTTTCTTTGCTGCTGCAGCACACTGGTCACTCATGTTGAGCCTGTTATCCACCAAGACACCCAGGTCCCTTTCCACAGGGCTGTTCTCCAGCCAGGTGGATCCCAGTTTGAACTGCACCCCTGGGTTATGTGTTTCCAGGTGCAAGACCTTACACTTCTCCCTGTTGAACTTCATAAGGTTCCTGCTAGCCCACTCCTCCAACGTGTCTAGGTCATCCTGGAGGGTGGCTCTCCCTTCTGGAGTGTCAGCCTCTCCACTCATGTTGGTGTTGTCAGCAAACTTCATCAGAGTGCTCTTGATCCCAACATCCAGGTCACTTACGAAGATGTTAAACAGCATTGGGCCTAATATAGATCTCTGGGGGACCCCACTTGTAACTGGTTGCCAGTTTGAGGAAGAACCATTGACTATCACCCTCTGGGTATGGTCCATCAGCCAATTCCCCACCCACTGCACAGAACACTTGTCAAGACCATAGCAAGTCAGTTTCTCTAGAAGGAGGCTGTGGGAGACCATATCAGAAGCCTTGGAGAAGTCCAGATAGGTGATGTCCACTGCTCACCCTGCATCAGCTTTGCAATGACATCAGCCAGTTCTGTCAGCACCCTTGGGTGGATGGTATCTGGACCCATCAGTTTGTACAGGTCAAGCTCCTCTAATTGTTGACACACCAAATGTTCCTTCACTTACAGCAAGTTGGTGTCTGTGTCAACATGGATTTTTTTTCCTATGGCCTGGGACCCAACAGTAGTGGTAAAGACAGAGGTGAGAAAGGTCTTGAGGACCTCTGCATTTTCAGTATTTTTGGTGTCAGTTGCCCTTCTCTGGACTCACTGCAACAGCTCCATGTCATTGCTGTGTTAGGGGCTCCAGAATTTAACTTGAGTACTCAAGGTGAGGTCTCACGAGAGTGGAGTAGAGAGGGGGAGAATCACCTCCCTCGACCTACTGGCCACACTTTTTTATTGCAGCCCAGGATACAGTTGGCTTTCTGGGCTTAAGACAGTGTCTAAATTTGACTACAGCTTAAGGAGAGCTAGACATGGCATGCTGTGCATTTTTCATCCAATATTCTTAGCGTATTTATAAACATTGCAAGTTTAATGCCAGAAGACAGTTCTGGCACTAAATAACTGTTTTAACTCTTTTACTAGGAAAATAACCACAGGTTAGTTCGCACTGCTGACAGTATCACAAAAGGCCAATGACTTACTTGGAAATGCAGTCCAAAATTTTGGTGCCCTAAATTTTTATTTTGTCTCCATTATAATTCTTTCTTTGCTCATTGTCTCTCTAACCTCTGACTCTTTTGTGTTTTGTAGGGCATATTTCTTGTTTTGTATGGAATTCAGGCAGCTGGAGTCTGTGGATAGTTGGGCATTACTTACAGACTTGGAAACATTTCATAAGCAAGTTATCTCTTAATTTCCAAAGCCTAATTTCCTGGAACATTTTTCTACTAGGTCAAGATAAATGCATTGAGAACTGGACTTCATGTAACCATCTTCTGTTGGTTTGATTGATGCAGTTGAATTGACAACTGTGATTTGGCTGGAAGGAATGCTGTGGGAGTAGGGCAACTTGCCATCAGCCATAAATGTGGTCATGAAAGTCTAGCAGGGTGAGCAGAATGAAAGGACATGAGGAATCTCTTAAAATGGAAAAGAAAATCAAAAGAGGCCAATTTGGCATTTGATTAACTTGCTCTCCAACCAGTTACTTCTTGGTACATATTTAGAAGTTCCCTGGAGTGAAAGTCTCCTTTTCAAGTTTTCTTAATTTTAAATGAGCCTTCATTCTATATACAAAGTCTTTAAAATGGCCATGTGTTTTGGTCCATGGAGTTAACTCACCATCTCTTTTCCCTTCTTAAGGCGTGTTATCTTCTATCCCCAAGTGCCATGAGACTGCAGTTTGGTCTACAAAAATAGATTTGTGCAAACACCACACTTTCCAGAAGCAGTAAAAAGATCTGTCTGTGGATTTTTAGAAGTTGGATGACTCCATTTCAGAATCCTTAGCACAGTTTGTATGCCGTGTACAAATCAGTCTGATCTTCAGAGTGTAGTTACAATAAGTAGGAGGGATAGAGTACTTTTCCTAAGAGAAGAGAGGCTGGACACAAGCTCACTAGCTGCAGTTATTTGAAATTTATGTAACCTAACTAATGGAACATGATAGAATAATGCCTTCTTTCCCTCTCTCCTTTTTTATTCCCCCCTCTCTCCTTTTTTATTCCTCCCTCACCCCTTGTCTGTTCTATTTTGGTACTCTTCACCATTGATGCAAGTTTTTGTTTAAGAAATGTGTATTGCATGATTGTTTTGGAAGACAAGTTTTTCAACATCAGGCTTGAGGCTTAAACCAGCAGCTATTTTAGCCGAAAGAACTCCTGTTGAGAGCAATGGAGGACAGCAAATATCATCAGCAAGGGGCACATGAAGTTAACTTGTTTAGTGTTAATACAACTATATGTAGCATAGAAGCTAATGAAATTATCGGACCTTTCTGTAAGGTGTGCTTAGGACCTCCGTAAATAGCAAGATTGTTTTCCTGTGAAATGGTTTTCAGTTTGTACTTCTTTTAAAAGTTTTTATTTCTTTTACTGAAGATGTAATCATAGTGTGTTGATTAACACTCTTTTATTCAGATACATGGGTATGTTTTCTAAAAAATTTTTTGTTTTAATTGTGTGAATCTACAAATGTAAAAAAATACTGTGTCACAATTTCTTACTTTGGTATTTAGAGATGGAAAAAGTCAGTGACCAAGTAGAAAAGTTCTGTGGTTTCTGTTTTGAGTTGTGCTGTTAGCACAAAAGCATTCCACTTCAGCTATGTTCATGCCTTTTGACAAAAACTTATATAACCCACTGGTCAGATGTGTTACTTCAGATCCCTCTTGAAGCTTCATTTACAGAAATAAGAGTTATTACAGATCTTGGTCTAGGGAAGACTATACTAGTTCCAGCTGTGATATAGTTAACTCAGGTGAGTAGCCTTGAAGATTTGCTTTCTTTAGATTCCTGCCCATCAGACTACAATCAACTGTGACAGAAATGATTTGCTGATTTAAGAAATACATTTTTAAAAAGAGAGAATATAACTGTTTAAAAAGTCAACCTCTTTATTTGTCTCTGCTTCAGCTTTACAAACTGTGAATCATGTAATGCCTTAGGCACTATGGTTTCACTGGTGATTTCAGTGAGTATGAATGTTCTTCTTAATCACATACTTGTTATATTAGGTCAAAACTCTTCATTGTTTATTTAGATAGTTTAACCACAGCTAGCCTCCAAGACCTAATTTGCAGGAAGGATGCTTTTCATCAAACTTGCAGCTTTTCATCAAACTTGCAGCTTTTCATAGGGGCATTGCTCATAAAATTGGAATTCTGCAGCCAACGCAGCCCTTCAGATATTGCAAAACAGAGCTGAAGTGCATTGTCAAATATAATACAACTTTGAATGATTATGAATGAAAGCAATATGAAAATTTAATTATTTATTTCAGTGTGTGCTTTTTTTTTCCCCTAGGTGGCATTGGCAGGGTCGTCAATGGTGCTTTTATGGTTTTGAAAGGTCATCGGTCGATTGTAAATCAAGTCCGGTTTAATCCTCACACTTACATGATTTGTTCTTCTGGTGTTGAAAAGATTATAAAGGTAAGATTAATGATCAGAAAGTGTATTCCTTCCATATTTCAGGAAGAAATGCTTTGTTCTGCTCAGCGTCATTCTTTTCTGCTCTTATCCTGTCTTCTCCATAGAATCTTGCTCTTCTCTACAGTGGTATGTCTCATTTGCTAACTAAACTGATGCAAATTTTTAACCAGACACTTCAACTTTAAATTCTGATTAAATTTTCAAGGTTTTAGATATAAGACCTAAATTTTCTGGATTTGTAACTTGAAAAAGGAATATTTTTTTTCCAGTTTCAGTCCATACATAACTGAAGTGTCATGCAAACAGTCCTTCTCGAGTTTGGTCACAGCTGTAACATGTGATCACCGAAGACTTTTGATACTTTGGGTGAAAATGTAGCAGAAATCTCTCCAAAGAGTATTGTTGAGTCCTAGCCTAGCCTGACCTAGCTGTATTTGACCTCAGGAGCCCTTCTATAATTTTTGTACGCAATTCTCTATTGAATCATTTCAACATACCTTTCCATGGCTTTCAGAGGATACAGGACTCTTAATACCTTCCATGATATGCTTTTTTCTGTATCTTCTAACAGCATGCAGTATTTTTAGAAAATGTGTGCCTTTTCATGTGGAATGTAGAGAGATAAGAAACTTTAGGTTGTGAAACTTTCTCTCCTTAAGGAAGGACAGACAATATTGTGGGAGCAGGGCAGAAACTTTTTTGCAATATCTAACAGCAGAGATTGAGAGTGGGAAGGTGGAGGATTATGCTACACTAATTCACTTTGCATTCTGCTGCCATTCAAATTTGCTATCGTTAAGGTCTAGCAAAAAGATGAAAGAATATAGAAAAAATTAATTTTTAAGTTGGATGATGAGAGCTGATGTTGCTTCTAACTATATGTTGAATGACTTCATAGAAGTCTTACCTGCATGTGGCTATAAATGAGGTCGTTTGAGTATTAGTAAAGGCTTTAGTCAGCTACAAGTTGACTGAATGAACTTGTCAGGCAAAGGAATGTTTTAGCAGTCTGCAGCTTATGGCCCAAAACTCTGGGACCGTGGCCCAGTGCCCAGCTGCATCATTACTTGCATTACAGCTACTGTCGTTCTGATTGTAGTTCAGCTTTCCTTCTCTCCTGTCTTCTGCTGGTACCTTAGTTTGCTTTTCTACTTTTCTCTTCATCTATGTCCCTCTGACAGGTTTGATCACAAATCTGTCAAATACAGGCGTTGAACAAAAGTGCATTGAACAGTCGTAGCAGGTCACCAATTTTTCAATTTCCAAGCAGTCAAACTGACAGTGTTTAACAAGGGTTTTGCCAGAGGCGTTTTTTTTTTTTTGCTTTGGAAACTTGATTCACACAGGCTGAAATCTCCCTTTTGGATTTTAGATCTGCTGACCCTTCATCCTATGAATCCTTCCTGCATGAGTGTGCTTAGACTGTTGGATTAGCATTGGTATAAACATCCCCTGTGTTGCTTTTATGTACTTCTGATAGGATTTTGGCAGGAGGGGGTTTTGCCTAGTGATTAAAAGGTTAGTTTGATTAAAGACCCAGTCACAGGTTGCGTAACTCTTGGAAAGACACCTCTGCTTGAATGCTTCCTTAGAAGAGAATGCCTGTTGTATCCCAGTATGTGCAATGGAACTCGTGTAGCTGCTCTGAGGGAACTGAAAGCCTTGTGAGCTACAAACAAATTAGGGGAAAGGTGTTTAATGTATCAAGTTTATGAGTGGGCCAGAACTTCTTACCCATTTGTTGTATGTTGTTTTGTCTAAACCTTGCAATGTGCCTTGTTTGGGAATGAGTTTGCTCTAAGGCCCATATCTTGTCTTATCTGCATGACTTCACGCTTTAAATGTACCACCTTAGTGAACAGCAGTTTACAGGTGACCACACAAGTGTGGTTTCTTCTTCATTCCAGCTACTTCTGCAGATAGGCTGAAGGCTAGTAACTGCCACTAAGTGTAAAACAGGAAAAAAAACCACCAGCAGTTCTGAAAGGCTATTTACTGCATTTAAAAACAGCTGGGAATGCAAGTCCTTGCTTTGTATGGCTTTTTTCTTTCTGCTATATAAATGCTTGATGTGCTTGCTCGCTCAGAGAAGTTGGGATGACAAGAGAAAGAGATAGAAATAAAAATTGTGTTTAGATTTTTTAATGTTGTCTTGTTTTGTTTGGTTAGGTGTTTTTTAATCAGTTCCTTAAGAAGTGTCCTTCCTTTTACTGTCCTTCAAGTGTCGTCTTAAAATCTGTCTGAAATTAAGTCATAGGAGATGGATGACTTTATTGTGATTAGCTAGTATTCCCTTCCCTTGATTGTGGAAACTCTGATTATTTTAAAATGTGGACGCAAACAGTTGTTTGTCTGAGACCTTAATTTTTCGACTAGCTGGCCTAAACGGAGTGTTTCTGGAAGGGAGGAATTGACAGCACTAGCATCAAGGTGTGACACAGACACACCATTCAATAATTTCACATGCTTCTGCTAGCACACTTGCTATTTTAATGCTGATTGCAAATGAGATGCTAACTCATCTCAAGCCTA